TGGGAGCTGCCGGGGCTAGCAGAGAGCTGAACTATGCCTCTCCAACAGCGGCGCCTGTGCAGACAGAGGGCTGAGAGGCAGGCGGCCGCCGCGGGACGAGCTCAGCCGGACGTTCTCCTTCTTTTTATCCGTTTCTGCAGGATCATGTATTTATAAGGGATGAGGTGGGCCACAGGGATCGCAGGCCTGAGGTGCGGCCTACCCAGTCGGTGCAGAATCAGGCCCTCCACTACCGGAACCGAGAGCGCTTTGCCACAATCAAATCAGCGTCTTTGGTAAGCAGCCACCCCACCTCCCCTCTCCCCTCTCCCTCTGCAAAGGGCTCAGGACATTGTTGTTCTCTCTCCTAATTTTTTTTTTTCTTTTTTTTTTTTTTTTGGTTGGCATAGCAACTAGATATTGCACTGAAAGGTATTTTAGCTCTGTGTGTGTGAGATGTAAAATATATTTAATTTCTATGTGTATTTCCAGTAGATGTGAAATAAGCCACTTTCCTGGATGAAGTTATTATAATCTCAGGTTTCCCCCCCTCCCCCTTTTCCCACCTATCTCTTTTGTTAATATATTTATTTGCATGTGCATAAAGTGTCTGTATATGTGCTCGTGTGAAATATGCCGAAATGCTATCGAGATGCAGACGGGTTTTGAAACAATAAGGCTGCTGCTTCCCGGCCGAGCTGCCGGCTGTTTTCTCATTCATTCATTTATCTCGAGCAACTGTACCGTGACTGCATTTTCCAGCCCGATCCCTCAGCAGGATTGCTGGGCTGCGATAGCGGAGGGGGCTCACGGCGGGCTGCGGGCTCACAAAGACAAGAGGGGGATGGGGTGAATCCAGCGAGATTTGTACTATTGCAAATGTGACTGCTGTGGATGCCTTTGTAGTAGGGAGAGGGGTGTGTGTGGGAAGAGTTAGTTGTGCCGCCTCCCCCACCGCGCGTCCGCACGGGCTGCCGGCCGTAGCAGCCTTTTTGAGGGCAAGGAGTGAAAAATGGCCTTTGAAAGCTAAAATAAATGTGATCTTCAATATTTCAGCCCGACGGCATTAGAGGTCAGATGGACGGGAGCGTTAGAAAGTCCCCACCGCCTGGCCATGGCACTCGTTCAGAGCTATGACATCATCCTAGACCAACCCCAAAATGACACCAGCGAGCCCTCCCCTTCTTGCCTTACCCTGCCTGAACGGTGGGGTGTTTTTTCCTTCTATACCACCATTTCTTGATCCCCCGAATCACTTCAGATTTCTGCTTGCACAAGACAGACAGTGTGTGTGTGTGACCACAGCTGAAGGTTGTGAGTGGAGGGAAAAAGCAGCAGCAGTGCCGGTAACCAAAATTCCTCTGTGTGGTTGCTGCTGTTAAAAATCTGAAATGATGCTGTGGCATTCAGACTTGTGGGCTGATGCTTCGGGGGAGCATCTGAGTTCCATCTTCTGCAGGTGTACTTCTGGGTAGCCGTACCCGGAGCACTCCTCAGGCCAGTGTCCCCTGCTCCCCCTTCCCTCCCTCCTCCTCCTCCCCGATGTAAGGAGTGACCTAGAAATGTGTGCATTGGAGGACTTCATGCAGCACACCAGGCACAGGCAGGGTCTCTGGTCTCCTGAGCCCCTCTGCCTAGTGAATTTTCCTCTTTTGCATGTGTGTGTGTGCACCCAGTGTAGTGCCAGCGCTGTTGCCTGCGCTGAGCAGATGAAAGCAGGATGCAGTTAGGTTGGCTGCAGGGAAGAAATGACTCGAGTACCATACTCCAAACATACATACAATTTGATTGAGAAATAGGTATGTGTGTTGAATATAGTCAACATATTCTTTTACTCCCTGTGGAAAGCTGCTGCACCTTCTGTCCTGCCTTCAGCAGCAGAGTCCATAACTCCAGTCTTACTTGAACATCCCTGGGCTGCTGGGGTGGCTTGAAGGTGTTGCATGGCACGGCCCCTTAGGAGCTGGTGGAAGATGGTGCTGTGAAGGTAGGGTCTGTGAGGTCTTCCCAGACCTCTAAGCTCTGGGGAAGACAGCTAATGTCCCAAGGTCACTCCTGAATCCCCCCAGCAGCCTCCCGTGGGGCTGGGACTGTGTCTGCCTCGGTTCCTCAGTCACTTGGATTTGCTACATTTCTCTGCTTCAGTGACCAAATGATGATAAAGATGAAATGAATACCGGGTGGGGAAGATGGTAGGCTTTTTGGAGAACTTTTCTGGTTTTGGTTTTCTGTGAAACATGCTCTGCTCTGGAGTGTGACTGGGCTCGTACAGGGAGTGCTTAGGGTGAGCAGTACATGCACAGCACCGCGTCTTTTGGAGGAGAGGGAGGTCCTACCTGTTAGCTCGCGATGCTAGCCAGCAGGCCTTTGGAAAAGCACGTGGTAGTATGTGTCTTGCCAAAGCTTTGTTGTCCCCATCATATGCACACATATCCTTTTCCCAGTAGAGAGGGAGGTTCCCAGAGCACCACCTTGGTGCTACCTACGGGAGGTGTTGCTCTGTCCTTGGGCTCTGAGGCTGCGCGGTGAGGGAGACGCTTCCCTCTGTTCACAACAGAAATACTTCTTTCATTGCAGTTCATCTTGTGATGGGCTTTCCCTTTAATAATCTTTCGTTCCCACCTCTTCATGTTCCAAAATGTAAATCTAGACCCAAAAAAAGAAAGCTCACTTGTAGCCTGTTCCACAGAACATGAGGCGTGCCAGCGTGCTGGGGTTTGAAGTGCCGGCGTGGCTGCCAGCACCCTTTTTTATCACCATGTGTTCGGTCGCGGCTCGGCGGCTGGGTGATCTCAGTGGGTGGTGGTGCTGAATGCTGCTGCTCTTCTGGCCGAGGGGAAACTTCTCGCGTGCCTGCCCCCTTGTCTGCTGCTTAAATATCTGTGGGGAGGGCAAGCTCAGCCACAGAGCTGGTGTGGGGACAATGACCTAAACGTGTCTGAAATCCGTAGTGTGAAACCAGAAATTCAGACTTTATTCACTTCTCCGTGTTAGTTTACTCTTTCAACAGCATCTTGAAAAAATCATTCCCTCATGAATGGGCGCTCAGATCCCACGGGGTTAAAAGCTAAGGAAGCCAGCATGCTTTCGTGGTTCCCTCCATGGCTGCTGCTGACCAGCAGTTGGTTTCTCAGCAGCTGGGTATTGCGTCCTGGGCGCAGAAGGGTCGTGCGGTAGGAAGAGTCAGGTGGCCTGCATCACAGAGAGTCAGAAAACGGGAGTTCTGACCCCAAATTCAGTAGTACGGGATGATATTTGGGTGGAAAAACTTCTGCTTGTGGGATTTGCTGAGCAGCACGCCCCAACACGAAAAGAAGGCATCGTTACAGAGGAGAAGCGCCGAGTCTGGGGGCTGTGCAGCTTGCTGCAGAGCTGTTCCTGCTGCTGGAGCCCAGGGGCTTGGGCCCTCCAGCCCTTGTTACTCACCTTTAGGTCAGGATATTACCAAGGGAGGAGAGACTGGCGTTTCTCAAAGGATGCTCTCAACTTGGAAGTTGGATCCCTTTCCAAAAACAAGCTCAAGTAGTTCCAGCGCGAGTGTCGGGGTCACACGTGAGAACTGCATTAGGTAGCTCTGCGCCCCAGACGTCCTAGTGATTTTAAGCAGGATTCCCCTGCCCTGTTGCTCTGCAAAAGCATCAGGTGAATCGGAAGGAAGCTGGACAGACTTCCAGATAGAACAGCGAGATGAGCTGTCCACAAAGAAACCGGCTGTGAATATTCACCTTTCTAGCCTTTCAGCAGTGCTTTGGTATTACTCAGGTTAAAAAATAAAATGGAAAAAATGAGCAAATGTGGTTAGAAAGCTGAAGGAGCTGAACTTACATGACACTTGTAGCAACAGTAAGCATCACTCGCTTGGAACAGCGGTGGAAAATAGGCTGTTGCAGTGAAAGTTACTATCTGATATGGAGATCAGGTGCCTACCACATCTCCATATTATTTTGCAGACTATCAGTGATCCATAAATTAAAAGTTACAACTAGAAATCTAAGTCTTGAAGCTTAGAAAGCTGTTGTTCATAAAGAAGGGTGGACTTTCTGCATGTTGATCAGACTACACCTATCAACCTTTTCAAGCGAAAGGTGTTTTTTAAATATGTGCAGAGATACATCAAGCTGCATTTCTGGATACCTTTCGTGCTTGACCCCTTAACTCCCCACCACCTCATGCATTTCCTTGATAGCTGCTTTTACAGTTTTTAAATGAAATGATCCAATAGTTAAAATTTCGTAGAAAGGTCAGACAGCATGGACTCTATGGAAGGCCTTGGCATTCTCTTTGAAATCCAAATGCCAGCAAAAGAATTACATGATCTCATCCAGGGTCTGCAAAGCCAAATGTCTAGGTGCGTGTGAGCGGGGTTCTCTGGATGTGGCCGTGAAAATGACGCCAGGGCAGTCTGACACGCAGCCCAGGTACGCTCCCGTGGTGGCTGTTCTCCTCTTCTGCTGAAGCAATGACATTTTATTCCAGGTGGTTGAGTTTCTCCTGACGGACTCATCTGGCCACTGCCTTCGTAGATCTTTGCTCAAAAAATTCTGAGCTTGTTCTTTCTCATCTCCAAGTTCTTCTCTTGCTGTGAGAGGGTGCTGGCAGTGTCTTGCTCCGTACTCTGCCTTGTCCAGTGGAGCTCATTATTTCGTTTGCTTACTGAGAGGTGAGAATGACTGTCCTGATTTAGGAGGGTGTTCGGTATTTTGGGTAAACAATGCAGAAAAAGGAACTCTAGAGAGCTGATGGTTTGGAGAAGTTGTGAGCCCAACTTCCTTACACAAAAGCAAAGATCTTGGAGGGGTGAAAGAGAGAAAGTTTGGATTTTATGGCAAGTGAACTGCCTGTGGGAGCAGGTTGGAAAGGACATCTCTCTTCTCAGCTCTGCATGCCAAAGATACAGAGAGATAAGAAACTGAGAAAATGCCATACCTTAATAAAAGCTGTTCTGTTTTGTACAGTTTTTTTGGTTCTGCTGGTGACCTGGTCGATTGTTGCATGCTGCAGATAGAGCTTCAGGAAACTGCAGTTTTCTGCTTTAAAGGAGCCTGATGTTTTCTGGTTGTGTGGAGAACAAATTTTGCAATGAGGAATTCAGTTGTGATCTTTTTTCCCATTATTATCTATGGGATTATGTTTATGAAATACTTTGTAAAGTTCTAAGTGCCTTTGTCCAAGAGCACCAGAAGGGTGATTACTGGAATTTCCCCAAATTTTCTTTTTAAAATGGTCGCCCAAGCTGTTCATTCATTAGGGGCTTCATCTTTAAAACCATAATCCTTCATTCATTCGTGTGTTGACATGCTTAGTCTGAAGTACTTCTCTGGTACTGAACTGATCATACTCAGTAACTAATCACAGAATGTTCAGGGTTGGAAGGGCCCTCTGTGGGTCACCCAGTCCAACCTCCCTGCCGAAGCAGGGTCACCCAGAGCAGGCTGCACAGCACCGCGTCCAGGCGGGTCTGGAATATCTCCAGAGAAGGAGACTCCACAGCCTCCCTGGGCAGCCTGGGCCAGGGCTCCGTCACCCTCAGAGGGAAGAAGTTCTTCCTCATGTTCAGCTGGAACTTCCTCTGCCTCAGTTTGTGCCCGTTGCCCCTTGTCCTGTCGCTGGGCACCACTGGAAAGAGTCTGGCCCCATCCTCCTGACACCCACCCTGCAGATATTTGTAGTCATTTCTAAGGTCCCCTCTCAGCCTTCTCTTCTCCAGGCTGAACAAGCCCAGCTGCCTCAGCCTCTCCTGAGAGATGCTCCAGTCCCCTCATCATCCTTGGAGCCCTCCGCTGGACTCTCTCCAGTAGTTCCTCATCTTTCTTGAACTGGGGAGCCCAGAACTGGACACCGTACTCCAGATGGGGCCTCTTCTTCTCAACATCATTCCATACGTGCTCTGAGATCACCATTCGGAGACCTTGTCTTTGGAGCCAGAGTTCTGAAGAGTGTCGGTCACAATTAGAGATCATAGTGATAAATTAGGTCTTTAACACAAGCACGCAGACATTAAACCTACAAAATGTTCACCAAGTCTACCATTCTTCTTCTCTCGTCCTCAGGAATGGAACGCTTCTATTGTTTTCCTCTGACTTTTTAACGTCTCGCTTTCTGCGGTGACTGGAAGGCTGGACCAGCCAATGTTACAATTACTAGTTGCATCCTATTGTTGGGGAGAATTATCCCAGACCTAATGTGAAATCTTTCAAAGATGGAACTCTTGTCTTGAGAGAGACAAGCTGAGCAAAATTGGAAGTGGGGTGCACAGAGGCAGCAGAAAAAAAAAAAAGGATAAAAGTTTGATGATTTTTGCTGTAAATAAAAGAAGTGCACATTCTAAATCTCTTTAGAGATTAGACCAAAGGGGCGACTGGCAAAGTTGCTAGTAGATTCTTGGATTCATTTTTTTCTTATGCTGTTTGCTTTGTTCTGCCAACCTCTTGGAAGGGAGCGTGCCGTGCAGAACGTCCCACTGTTCACAAAAGGGTCGGGCCTCAAACACAGCCCCTCCAGGAAGACCTCGTGCTGCTGCGGGGTGGTTACCGCGTCGCCGCAATTCCCTGACCAAGTCTGTTCTCCCCAAGTCATGTGTCATTTAACGCAGTAAATGGCATATGTGAAATGCTGGGGGGTTCCCTGTCTTACCTGACGTCTGTCTTTTATAATGAACTTGGATGACTCCTCAGAGGAACTTTCATTACCTGGAAGCTTCTGTCAGCGATCTGATGCTTGCTGAACTTCACCGAAATGTGCAAGTTCCCACAAATGCTCACCAACTTCCACAAAGCATGGCTGTCATCGTTACACTGAAGAAAAGGCTTCTTGCGCTGTAGCAATACACCGGGCTCATACTGTGTTTGTGTTTCTTTCGTCATTTCCACAAGCTCACATATTCCTGGTAGCTGGCCTAGGTCTGTGTTGTTACCTAGTCTCAAGCATTCGAAGGCTCAGTGTTACACCGGTTGCTGAGGTCTAAGTGTATATTCAATCCAGTCAGCTCCAAAATAACACCCCAGAAGTCCCTGTACAAGGAGGATGTGCCTAACGCATCATCACTTACCTTGTAGGTGATGTTTGCCTTCTCTAACACTGTGAACCCACCGTCACTCCTTCCTGGGTGATGGGGCCTGCCGCAGCATGGTAGGCAGCCCAGTTCTTGGTGTTCTTTGCAATCAGATGTTGCCTTTTCTCTCTGAGCTTGTGTTTGGAAGGGTCGGGCGGGAAACAGAGGCTGTCCACTTCAGTAGCATCATCCTTTCATGTCTCGTTTCTGCTCTGGGACTCTGGCTATCATTTTCTTGGCTGGTAACTGTTTACTGTGAGGTCCTGTGCAGCCTGCTGTAGGCGACCCTGCTTCGGCAGGGGGTTGAACTAGATGACCCACAGAGGTCCCTTCCAACCCCGACCATTCTGTGATTCTGTGATCTGTTTCAAGGTGAAGGCTGTGCAAGGCTCTTCCCAGCCTCCTCTTCACACCCCTCCCAAGCGTTGGTAGTCAGTTGAGCTGAGGCAGGTGGCCGCATGCTGTCTGCCTTGGGAGACATATCGGTTGTGGTGTTAAACTCGCTTGTTGAGTTTCGAGCTCTGACTTGATCGCTGCTTCCTATCAGCTACCGGTCCTGAAGCCCAGGGCTGCCAGCCAGTGGGCTTGGCTTGCTGCTCGGTACAGCAGCTGCTCTTCCGCTCTTCAACTGGAGCCTTCTCAGGGCTGTAGGTGCATCCCGTCCTACATCTGAACTTACTTTGAAGATCTCTGAGAAATAGCCTTCGAGTGACAGCAGTGCTGTAGTAGGTGCCCATTCTTTCTCTTGGCCGCTATGGAAGAAATTCGTCGGGAAGGCTGGGCTCTTGCAGACCGCAGGAAGGACTGTTGGTTCCTGAAGCTTGGATGATCACCTTCAAAGGGCTGAGCTCTTTGCTTCATACTTGTTCAGTGTGAAAGGGAGAGGTCCCCTCGTATGGAATGAAGGGCTGCAGCCCTGTGCATGTACTAAGGGCTCCAGCGTTTTGCTCCCAGGACTATGTCCTGGGTTCGGCCAGGGCAGGGTTATCATACAAAATATCAGCAGATCTTTATGTGTGAAGTTCCTGGGACTGTATTTTTAAAAAAAATCAACCTTGGACACTTTTTTCTTTCGAAATGGAAGCATTACCATTTGTGTTTTCTTCTGAAGATTTTTGGCACACCTTACTGGTGTTTTTTTCCTCCTTTCGCATGAATGCACTTAGGCATGGAAATGAATGTGGAACTTGTGAGTTTGTTTCAGCTGAGCGGGGTTTGAAATCTGCTTAGACCATCTGATCAATCTCGTTAAGAGCACATAGTTCCAGAACAGTGTTCCCATGTTAGAAAACTTTCAATTCTGGTAGGGAATGAGCTCAGTCTGTCATCCTCTTGAATTTTAAGAAAAAATTTTGAAGGAGGCTACTCGTCGCAGGAGATAGGTGTTGAGGGGCTGAATTGGCACTGTGGTGATTTGAGGAGGAAGGAAAGAATGGGTGAGGTGTGTGTGGGGAGTGTCTCAAAATGGATGCCAGCTTGTAAATCCGTGCCACCCTCAAGATTTGAGTCCTGTGTCTGAAGAAGGTCGTCCAGCAGCCACCTTTGTTTCCAGATCTCCTCTGGTGTTTCCTGGAGTGATTGGTAACCTGCTGCTTGCTTTATTCGTAACATGACTTTTTTTCTGCTGTGTTACTGAAAACACACATAAAATTCTCATTAAAGATGAGGGGGTAGAAATCAAGAGAGAGAAACCTTATGGCCTGGTTCGTGATATTAAACAATAGCACCCTCTGAAACCGGGAACAGCATTCCCTGAAAGTTGGTTTCTAGGAGTACAGCAAAGCAGGGTCTGGCTTACAGGTAAGCAGCTCATACGGAGACAGCGCGCCTGTGAAGAAGGCCGTGTAGCACCTCTTCCCCTTTTCCTGACATCAGGTTACAAGACAGATCCATGAGCATGAGCAGGAGAACGAGTTGCGGGAACAGATGTCAGGATATAAGCGGATGCGGCGCCAGCACCAGAAGCAGCTGATCGCCCTGGAAAACAAGTTGAAGGCCGAGATGGACGAGCACCGCCTCAAGCTGCAGAAGGAGGTGGAGACGCATGCCAACAACTCGTCCATCGAGCTGGAGAAGCTGGCCAAGAAGCAAGTGGCTGTGATGGAGAAAGAGGTGAGTAGAGTTACGGGCTCCCTAGCTGTACAGGAAGAGTGGAGGGAGAGGGGTGTACCAGATCTCTAGGAGAAGGCTGTGGCAACACTGCTTAAAATCCATGTTCTTATGGGCGCTGTGTGGTTGTGGTCCGGAGCTGCCCTGGCCAGTTTTGTGAAACAGCTTCACGCTACAAGGCAGCCTTCTGGATGATGGGCACTCCGTTGGCGTCAACCAGTGCCATGGCTACTGGCAGCTGGCTGAGAGAGACCAGCAGGCTCTGGGGAGACCTTGGGGCGGGCTGAGGGAGTGACAAAACCCGCTGCTGTTACTCAGTGTGTTTGAAAATCAGCGTGTTAATCCAGTGGTGAACCAGTGGGGTTTTACCCTCTGGGGTGGTTTTGGCGGAAAGGTAAGAAGCGTGAGGCAACTCTTCAACGTGTGGGGGCATGATGGGCTGCTTGTGCAAGCAGCTTTCGTTTGGCTGAATAGCCATGGCTTTGTCTAGCACAGGGGTGGGAGAATGACAGACCACAAAACACATGACAGAAGACTGATTTGTGCTGGATTCAGTGTCTGCTCCCTCCTTCACCTTTTCTTTTTTCTCCTTTCTTTACCCGCCCCC